AAAATAAACACTACTTTAAAACTTTCTATATTTATTTATTTATTTATTTAATTAGAAATAATCAAATAAACAGTAGGGACTGCTCAGCTGATAATAGAATGAGAAGAAGCTGAGCTGACAGTAGCAACAGTGACAGTTAGTTCGATCGATTACGATTTTTTCGAGACCAATCAACATGGTATTTCACTCTATTACGTCATTCGTCATTTATCATGGTACACTAACAAGCGGAGAGCGGATTTTGTTCTACCGCTATATTTTGTTCTTTGAATAGCTACATAGTAAGATAACGCAGTGATCTTGAGGACGAGGTGCGTAATATAATTGAACGATCAAACGAACTTACCTGTGATGTTCGATCGTAATTATATATAGCACCTCGTCCGAAGAGATCACTCCCAACCCTCCCAAGACTAGACCCCATTTCCAAAATATAGCGGGAAACTTTAAACTTAGATGACTCTACCGGTTGAACAGGGTCCTGTAGTCGGTAAGGGCAATGATTGATATTTTGAGTTCTTTGAAATTTGTGACTCCCTCTAGTACAAAAAGCAGTACTACATAGTAAGATAACGCAGTGATCTCTTCGGACGAGGTGCTATATATAATTACGATCGAACATCACAGGTAAGTTCGTTTGATCGTTCAATTATCGAACACGGCTCACCATTTGCCATATGTCGATTGTGTCATTACTCATTGTGGCTTGTCTTTGTCTTGTCAAAACTGTCCTTTTGTTTATGGTTTTTGATATTTCCACTGATATTTCTAATTTCGTTTTCTGTTGAAAAATATTTTTTAACTTCTCGGTTCTCATTGAATCCAAATTCTATATAACATTAAATTTGGTACAGTGCTGACCGTTTGTTCTGTAATTAATCTGTTGTGTTGTAAGTTAAGCTCGATCGTTGTTTGATGGTTGCGGTTGTGCTGCAGTATTTGCAATATGAATTATGAAACCGTAAGTAGAAGCATAGCGGAAGCATTCAATGAGAAGCCAGTAAAATTGGCCCTTTATTATTTTAGATTTTTGACCCAGGAATCCTTGGCCTCTGCCTCAACTTCTGAGATCAATATTTCGTCAAATAGTTCGAATGATAGCTTTAAGGCCTGTTTATAGTTCAAAGCTTTTTCCTTTTCCGTAGATTTATCGTTAACCGTTAGAGTTAAAAAGCGTGTAAAAGAATTTGAGTGTTTATACTATTTCCTTTTCCGTATACTTTTCCGTAGTGTTTAAACCGTATCCTTGAAAGTTAATTAATATTTAACTTCTACGGTTAAAGATAAAGAAATATCCGGATGCGCATGCGTAATTTGCAGGAAAATTTTTGGCATCCATGTTTTGATTTTTTTTCTACACCGAACAAGTTCTAGGTTATGTTATGGTTATAGGTTTTGTGGTTATAGTGGATTGTGGATTGTGGATTAATAAAAAAAATACAGTATTCCTACAATAATTGTTTTTTTCTTCTCGATAATCATTACTTACGCCAGCTCAAAAATAGATTTTGAATAGAACAAAAAAATCAGTTGTTTTGTGTTTGTGTTATGATCACCTGTTAAAAGTCATATATGTCATTCTTAAGGGTTATGGATAAATTTAAAAACCAATCTATAAACACAACATTTCCTTAAGGAAAAAGAAAACGCTAAAGATACGGATAAGGTTAAAGAAACGGAAAAAGGTTGGAACTATAAACCAGCCTTTAGTAATGGTGGTGAATCAACTGACAGAACTCAAAATAATGAAATTGGTGGTAATGTAGGTGTGCGCAAAAAAGTTACAAAAAAATATAGACATAAATTTAACAAAACTTGGATGAAAACATATCCTTGCGTGGTGAATATTGATAATGCAGCATTTTGCAAATCCTGCAACCAAAAAATTGTGGGAAGCTTAACCCACCTAAAACGTCATGAAAAGACAACAAATCACAAGAAAAGGTTTGAAGCTGCCAAATCGACGCGCAAAATAAATACTTTATTAGTTGATAATGATAAAAAACTCATACATCATAAAACTGTATACGCTTCAGAATTGAAGATGACTATGTTCCTACACGAACATAATTTGCCATTTTTACTGATGGAACATTTACCTAAATTCATACAATCAGTTTTTCCTGATTCCTCTGTAGCGAAAGATGTGAAATGTAGTCGAACAAAAGCTACATTATTGACTACAACATGTCTAGCCAAAGAGAGCCTTGAGGTTCTCCAAAAACAACTCCAAGAAAGTGGCGGACTCTACTCATTAATAATAGATGAGACCACTGATGTGTCGACAAAAAAATATCTAGCTGTTGTTATTCGCTTCTGCCGGAATGACAAACCTATAGATAGGTTCCTTGGACTCATCGAAGTAACATCTGCTACTGCTGAATCGTTATTCAATGCAGTAGTACAATTACTGAATGATAATAAAATACCTCTAAAAAATATGATTGGTTTTGCTGGAGATAATGCATCAGTCATGATGGGGAAGAAAGCTGGGGTGCAAGCCAAATTTAGGGAAATAAATGACGATATATTTGTATTGGGATGTACATGCCACTCTCTCCACTTGTGTTCTTCTGCTGCTTGCACTAAATTGCCTAAGTCGGTTGAAGAATTTGTCAGAAATTTGTACAATCACTTTTCCAACAGTCCTAAAAGAATGGATGAGTTTGAGGAGTATCAAACATTCTTGCAGTTAAAACCTCACAAATTGCTCCGACCAGCTCAGACGAGGTGGCTGTCCTTACAAGTAAGTTTTAAAAACAGAGAAAAATAAACATAAAACATATTTTTTCCTTATTGCAGGCTGTAGTGGATCGCATTCTTTTTTTGTGGGAGTCCCTGAAGTTATATTTCACAAATTTGGTATTTGAGAATAAGGATATTTTACACAATGATAAACATTTCCTTGAAAATCTGAAAAATCCCATATTCAAGCTATACTTAACTTTCTTATCATATATTTTAGAGATCATCAACCAAATGAACCTGCAATTTCAAAGCGAATCAACCCAGATACATACTCTTTACACCAAATTCACTAGCCTCTATAAAACAATTCTGAAAAACTTTATAAAACGCTCTAGCCTCGACAACAGTGACTTGGGGAAAATTTGTCCAACTAATCCTGAAATTTATTTAAATATCAAAGATATTTATATGGGGGCAAATGTTGCTTTATTTTTAAGTGAGAACAACATTGACTGCAAGGAAGTTGACAAATTTCGAGTAAATGTTCTATCATTTTATGTAGAATTGAGTAGCCAAATTCGAAAAAGATTTAACTTTAATGATAATTTATTGATTTTTTTATCAAACTTTCAACCAAAACATGCGATGAGTGGCGATGTAGCTACTATTGCTGTTGAAGCCAAAAAATTTTTTCAAAAGGCTATTTCTGACTGCGAGAAATTGGACAATGAATGGAGGCTGCTGCCAGAGATAGCTGATTTAAAAAAAAAAGAAAATCTTCCATTCAACGAGTTTTGGATTGAAGTATTTCAATCCAAAAATTAATTGGACTGTGAGATGTTCCCAAATTTAAAGAGACTAGTTAGGGCGATAATGTGTCTTCCACATTCTTCTGCTTGTGCAGAAAGAATATTTTCCAAACTCAATTTGATGAAAACTGATTTAAGAAATCTTCTTACTATAGCAACTTGTAATGCTATTATGTTGTCATGCGAGTTATTAAATGATAGAGAATCATGTTACTCTTGGCAACCACAACCAAGTTTGTTAAAAAAACTACCTAGATATTGAGTTTCTAAATGTAATGATCTCAGAGTTATTTTTTTTTATTTTGAAGAAGTTTATGTCTTGTTTTTTATTTTTATTTAAAGTGTTGTGTCTATGCTTCAAATAGTTGAGGCACCTTGTGCAATGAGAATACAAAATATTGCCAGTTTCCTGTTCCTGACCTTTTTCTGTTGAAAAGTTTAAAAAGGGCAAAAAAATTTTCTGTATGTGATGAGGATCCAAAGTTAAATTTTGTTTTCATTTGTAAGCAAATAAATATTTGAAAAAAAAACATTGTTCTTGTTTTATTTATCAAAATCCAAATTATTCCAAATTATAAATATCCATCATCATATTCCCTACCCTATCATACCATCTATTCTATGCTATTACAGTTTTCTACAGTACCGACCAGGCCTATTTATAATCTGGTACAATTTTACTGAATCTGGTACAATTTGTCATTAATTTTGGTACAAAAAAATTTTGCTTTCTGGCAACACTGGCAACAGCTAGTATCCAATACAAATGGATGTGAAAGAATATATACTTGAAATTGAGAAACATCACAAAGAACTTTGGAATAATATGTGGAAGGAATTACTAAGCAAAAAAGAAGTAAAATATAAGGGGGTTTATCAGACTTTCCCAAAGGAACCTTGGTTCACTTCACTAGTATGGAATACATAAATAGGAGACACATAACTACGATAATCAGGAATGAAAACTGGACACTGTCTAACTGGTCAACACCTAAACAGGCTGGGTATCAAGGATAGCTCAGCATGTAAGTGTGCGTTATTTGAATGCCATAACCTACAACCTGACTTTAGACAGAAGAATAAGCAGAAGAACCTAAGACAAAATAAACTAAAGATTCTGAAAGCTATATAGGTATTAGAATTCACTACAGGACGGGTGAGGGAGCGAGACGAACCGGAAATCTATTTCAATCACAATAATTAGTATTGGCTAGATATCCCAGGGTAGTCATTCCCTGGAAAGAAAAAAAAACCTTCGTGAAATGAACCTTACCTGTTAACTTTAACACTGACTAAAGTTACTTTAACATTTTCAAAAGATTAACTGCGTAAATCTAATATAAAAACGAACAAATTTCGATCTTTTTTTCCATAAAACCCAAACCAATTTCGTTAAACCTACATTGAAAAGGTCAAGGATAATCGACTCACCGGAGTCAAGATTAAGGCCTTTTACTTTATTTTAGAAACACATGCAAATAATGAAAAGCAAACAAAATTTACCTTGGAAATGCAGTCAACAATCGTTCGAATCTCCTCGCCGATTGAGACAATACACGTCTAGACGCCATTTATTTTAATTTTGTCCTTTACCTAAAGACAAAAGAAAACTTAAATTTAGAAGCAAAATTCTCAAAACACAAGAAATAATAATAATTTTACGCAATTTACATTCACTGAACACCTACTTTTGGTTAGGTAACACGCAATAGTTTTGCTTACGTTGGAATTAATGAATAATTAAAATTTCCCACTCACATCATGATTGTTATTACTTATATACTGATGAGTGAATAACAAATTACAATTTTCCCGGTGTTTTTGGCAGTTTTTGTTGTTGACTCAATTAATATATGTGTATTTTCGTACATCCACGTGCTTTTATGTATTGATTAAGCTGATGACATGCGCTTTGGAAATGTGTTATTTAAGTTAGAAGCTTGATTAAACGACAATACTACTGAGGATTATTTGGAAATATCTATTGCAGGTTTACTACTCAATTTTATAAAGAATCTCAAAAGTTATGATTCTTTTTTTTGTGGGAGGGACAAATGTAAAAATGATGTTAAGATCTCATAGAACTAGAAATTAAAAAAAAAAACTATCAGTTAGTGTGTGTTCAAAGTGCCAGTTAGTTTGTGCCATCAAGTGCCAAAATGCCAGACCAATCCATGGAAGAGTGGAAGGCTAACATTGCAAGCCAAATCCAAGGGCTGCAAGAGGAAAACCAAGCCTTGAAATCCGGACGACCTGACGCGCAGCGTTGCCATTCCTCATGATTTTACATGAGATCTCATGTTTTCATTGTCCATCTCATGCTCTCATGCTTCCAAGTGGAAATCTCATGATTTTTTATCTTATGGTTTTATATTAAATAATGTTGGTTTTTTGCATTTTTTCGCGAATATTTCTGGTTATCAGTTTCAAAACTTGAAAGAGGTGATGCTAAATTTATGTTTAAACCACACTCAAGTCAAGTGCTACATGTGAGAGGATTTTTTCACAAAGTCCAAAAACCGCCTAAACCCAAAGAACAATAGCTGGTATTTTAAGAACGAAACAATATATTGGTTCCAATAACTGTACATTGATGACACATTTATAGATAAGAAGAAACCCACTCCCACTATATATATACAGCACCAATGTAGTGGAAAAGTATAGACATTTACTTAAAAATCTTCAAACAAATAGAATGTAGCTGTGATTGAAGAAAACACAAATGTTCCTTCTGTCTTCTGTACTAAGATAGGTTCCCTTTTTTTGTAATGTGGTGTATTTTCGTCGATGGTTTGTTTTATTTTGAATGTTTTTTTTTTACCAAAGATGGTATTAAGCAAGATCACGAGTTTTAAACAACTGTTTTTATTTATTTTTTAATGGCCCCTCATGTTTTCAGCTATTTTAAAAATCTCATGTTTTCTCATGTTTTTAATGACTCAAATTTCATGCTATAGAAGTTTTAGGCCTGGCAACACTGCTGACGCGATTAAGAAGCAAGACATTTATCTTCAGAAACTGGACAACATTCACTAACTTACTGGAAGACCAAGAAGCCGTTGGGAACATAGCCAATCCACATGAGCTCGACCAAGCTGCAGACTTGCTATCCAACAACATAGTTCAAGCCCTACAGGAAGCCAAAACAACGGTCCCTATAAACGGCCGACAAAAACAAATACCACCCGACTTGTTAACGGACATAAAGGCAAGAAACCGCTTACGAAGAACTGCACTTCGGACAAATGATCCATATTTAAAACCAGATGAATAGGGACATCAAAAGAAGAGCCACGGACGCCTATAACAACCATTGGCAGAAAAAACTCGAGGAGACGTTAGAACTAGGCAAGGACCTCTACACATTAGGCCGAAACCTAACAAAAGGCCCCCACCGTCTCATGCCCAGCATTATAGTCGGCAATATCACCATAGACGACCCTGCACTTAAGGTAGAAGCCTTTGCCGATAGTCTTCAAGAGCAGTTCACTTCCAACTCCCCGCTTCACCAAGACCAGGACCATAATGTAGACGAGACAATCCAACTAGCATTAAACCAACCTGAAGACCACCAGCCTCCAGTCTTCAACACCGACCAGACAAGACAAATTATCGCCGCCCTGGAGCGCAAAAAAGCCCCCGGTTTGGACGGCATCCCCAACATGGCGCTGAGGAAACTTCCTCAAAAACAAATAGAGGACCTCACTTGTCTAATACAAGCCATTTTCACCCTGGGCCATTTCCCCGTCAGCTGGAAAACGGCAAACATCATTTTGATCAGAAAACAAGGAGAATCCAGCAACAACACCAGGACGGCTATTCTTGAAATCGGGGAGCTTGGTTCTCATGAGAAAATTGTAAAAGTTCTCATGGAAGTAAAAAATAGGTATTCTTCAAACTGTGAACAGCTCCTTTTCTACGAATGGTGAGAGAACTTACTTCCACTGGTCTCAGTTGGGAGAAGTGAAGTTCATTCATATTTTAACCTATAACTTACAGTGAAAAGTGATGTGTGTTATGTCATTGGTTTTTATGCTTTGTTGAGAACATGGAGTTAAGTTTGCGGCCCATATCATTATTGGCGATTTGGAAGATGCCGGGGAACAGGCTAATCACGGACGACGGCAGGTGTTCCAAATACGGGATCCATTCGTATATTTATCTGAACATAAATTCATAAAATATTTTCGGTATCTGTCACATGAAATAATCCAACAGGACTGGGACTCTGTAACGAATAGAGATATTTTCGCTATCTCTATTGACGTCCCCTCTCTAATGATTTCGAGAAGAGAGAAGAAGACAGCAAATGCCATAGCGCTAGTGATAATAACGATCTCTATCCGTTACAGAGTTCCAGTCCAGATATCCCATTCAACGATAAACTACAACAACTAGGGATCTCAAGATCACGTGCAGCCGGACAACTACCGCAGCTAGAGAAACGATTTCCAAAAGATCCTCAACTTGAAGAGAAATATTCTCAATTTATGGAAGAATAAATGAAACTCAATACTCAATCATATGAGAACATGCCCGCAACTAAAATTCCTCATCAGCCTGTAATAAAAAAATCCAGTTCCAGTTCAGAATACGTTGAGAGTAGTATTTGATGCCTCAACTCAAGCAAAACTTCAAGTGGAATCAGTCTCAATGATGCAATGTACTCAGACCCGAAACTTCAGCAGGAACCATATATAAAGACGCTGCTTTTTCTGCCATTTTAAGATAGATACTTTCAAATTATTATTAAACTGAAAAATAAATAATTTTTCCACAATCAACATAAACTTCATTGACATAAACTGGGTTTTTTACAATTAGATTCTTTTTAGGTTATAAAGTTTGTCGCTTTGTTTTGATTGGCCGAAATTCGTTTTCTTATGATTGGCAACGGCGCACAAAGGTAATCGCCGGGAACTCGTTCCCTGTATTTCGAGAATACTCACATTGTGCTATAAGGGAAATCAAAAGGGAAGTGAACTAGTCACTTCACATGCACAGAGTTCACTTCTCACGCCGTCAAGAATAGCCGTCCTGAAGTCACCATCCGTCACCAAGCGTCCTAACTTTAAAACGAAAAGCTCAGGAGAAAAACTTCATAATATACAAAACTTATAGATCTCGTCGAGTACTACAAAAAAGCCTATAAGAAGTATCCCGCCGCGGGACATCGTTTTCGAGAAAATCGACCTGGAAAATTTTAATAAAATTACAAAGAATTTCAACTTTGACAGCTGATATCTCAAAAACGAAAATGGCTTGGAATCTCAATAAAAAAACATTTTGTAGGTAATTTCATTCTCTTTCAAACGATATATGAAAATAATAAATAGTGGCAACGCTGTGAAATAATATGAACTTCATTTATTTTGACGTTTTTGACAAGTATCAAGCCTCACAAGCTTATAACATGAAATTTCAAAATTCCAAGAAAAAAAAACAAACAGTGGCAACGCTGTAAAATAATATAAACTTCTCTTGTTTTGACGTTTTTGACAATTAAAAAATCAAAAGTCAAGCGTCACGAGCCTATAAAACGAAATTTTAAAATTCCAAGAAAAAAAAAACAAACAGTGGCAACGCTGTAAAATAATATGGACTTCATTTATTTTGATGGTTTTGACAAGCATCAAGCCTCACAACTACTGACAAGCCTACAACACGAAATTTTAAAATTCTAAGAAAAAAAACAAATAGTGGCAACACTGTAAAATAATATAAACTTCACTTATTTTGACGAATTTGAGCAATGAAAAATCAAAAGAATAGGCTCACAAGCCTATGACACGAAATTTTGAAATTTCAAGAAAAAAGATAAACAGTGGCAACGCTGTAAAATAATAATGAAGGCGACCGCCTGGGCTCCTAGACGGCCCTACTTACTCAACCGCCGGTAATAATTAAATTTCATGTGACTTTTTTGTTCTACCTACTTTATTTCCGTCTTTCTTTCACTTATTGAATTTCTTATATTGCTGTCTCTCTATTATTCCAAGCTCTTGGCGACTCAAACGCCGAGAATAATCAAAGTTTGCCCCACTATGGAATATATCCCATTTTATCTCTGTCTTTTTCTTAATCATTAAGTTTTTTATATCGCTTTCTTTGTCCTACTTTCCTAGTCTAGGCTTTTAATTGGCCAGATAAAAAAATTACATACAAATTCATTTAAACGCCAGGAATAATTGAAATTCATGTCATATTTTTTCTGTTCCTACTTTATTATCATCTCTCTCTTACCTATTGAATTTGCTATATTGTTGTCTCTTTAATATTAATATTATTCCAAAAGTTCTTGACCACTCAAGCGCCGGTAATAATCAAAATTCGTGTGACATTTTTAGTCTCTTTATATTTCCGTCCTTTCTCAGTTATTGAATTTTTTATATTGCTCTCTCTATCTCTATTATTTCAAGTTCTTCTCAAGCGTCGGGAATAATTAAAGTTTGGCAACTATTTGATTTATCCCACTTTATCTCTGTCTTTTTTATAACCATTGAATTTCTTATGTCGTTTTCTTTGTCCTACTTTTCTAGTCTAGACTTTTTATTGGCCAAATACATAAAATACATAAGCTCACTCAAGCGCCGGGAATAATTAAAATTTGTGTCACACTTTTTCATATCCCATTTTATTTCCGTCTCTTCTCTTTCCTATTTATTGAATTTCTTATAGTTTTGTCCCTTTATTATTCCAAGCTTTTGGCCACTCTACACTCAAACGCCGGAAATAATTAAAGTTTGCGTCACTATTTCATGTGTTCTACTTTATCTCTGTCTTTTTCTTAACCGGTAAATTTCCTATGTCGTTTTCCTTGTCTTACTTGTCTATTCTAGGCTTTTTATTGGCCAGACACAAAAATCACATACGAACCA